GTGGCGTGGAATTGTTGGTCTCGTCGTCGGATTTACTTGATGTTTTGACTGTTACACTGGTAATAATTCTGTATGAATCTCACAGTTTTGCTGCTCGCACATCAAACAGCTACTGTCGAGGTAAACCCTACGCAACAACGAATTTCACGAGATACAAGTAAACTTAGAGTTTGTTTTTACCAAATACGTGGCACAGTCCTAACTATGCCATTGCATGTATCCCGTGCACATACTACAATAAAAAAATCAATCATAACTTGGCTGTTATTTAGCATCTTTCTGACGTTAGTGTGCAATCGATACGTTATATATATATCATTGTAAATACACAGGATATGTGCACAGGATTTCCACAGCGACCTCAATGCGAAAGAACGCCTGTGTGGCGACATATAGCGTTAAATTTAGAAAATGTGTCAATTGAAAGTATATGTTCGCGAATTGACTATTTTTCTAGAGTCAGAAAATAAATATTGCACCAATTACAGAAATTGACCTTACAAGACAACAGATCAATTCCTCTACGTCGTACATGTTCTTCATATTGCTTTTCTATAACAAATTATTCGTTTTAGATTTGGATCTTGCTATGGCTAATTGAATACCGCGACTACTTCGGTTAGATAAAGCACATACTCACAGCTAATATTTAAAATATGACATATCATGACACGCATATAGGAATAATCACGTTTGGTGCAATAACATATACGATATACAGATTCATATAGTGCCGACCCTTAAACGTTGGCCCAAGGTGAGTAATGCGTAGTAAAAATATTCTATAATGGTATATACCTTCGACCTCCAGTTCTTAAAATTACACGATTGTATAGAACATTGTCATCTTGAAACTGGTGATTAAATTTAGTGTCACATTTGTGTGCCTATAATATTAAGTAACTTGTCATGTCTTCATCAACAAAAGTTTGTACAAAAATATTAGCACGAAATAATTATTTACAGCCAATCTGAATAAATTCCATTAGAGCTTACGCACTACGAAATTACTCACGTTTAAAAAAACTATTTAAAAAGTACACTCTGGTACATCATTTCTGTTTCCAATCTCCATCAGCAAGGTAGTTATAATAACAATAGCATAGTAAGGAATGTAATAACAATATTTTACATGTTTTAATTTATTCCGCGAGTTGTCACCTTTGAAAAATTCTGTACTTTTAAAGACACTAATTCTTCCGTAGCCGTTCACACCTCATCAGTATAAAATATCACAAAGCTGGGTATTCAACGTCAGACAAAAATTAGAATAATGTTTTCCTTTCTACACGTGCAGAAACTAGCCGCCATCTTCTATCATCTACTATTGGTGTTTAGAAAGCTATATCACAAGTACACATCGAGAATTATAGAAATTAGCGTAATGTAAAATATAAACATCCTGATACAATGATACAAGTACAACGTCTTAGCAGTAGAATTTAGCAATAGCAGGACTATTCGCAGACTATTAGCCGCGACGATGAGATTTAACGAAAGCAGGGTCCTTTGACTGTGTCTGTCTGTGTCTGTTTGTGTGTGTGTGGGGGGGGGGGTAACCAGGATTAGGAATAGGGTAAGCCTAGTATTGCCATGACTAAAATTTGACCGAGAGCTAGGCTTAAGTACAGTATTATCAACTCACACCTTAACTTCTCCGAGTCCAACTTTAGCGTAATCTACATAATGAATGACACTCTACGACTTTCTGCACAGCAGTAGGCACGAGAAAACGAATAAAAATTAACTACCCGCACTCGCAGGTCATTAATATTTGAAAATGTGAAATTTTCCGGAAACATTTTTTCAGCGTGACAGAGAACAGACTACTATTAAATCCTCCATAGGATCCTATACTTAAGAATTGAATTTCAGGAGCTGAAAAATAGTATTTCGGCCGAGTGGCAATATTAAAGCTAGGTAGCCACGTACTTCAGCTGTGCACCATGAGAGTTATGATATATGTTGTCCGGCGCTTTGAAAAAAATATCGCGAATTTACTAACCGACACCACATTTGTGCCTGAAAACAGTCGCGCAGTCGAATGGTGGCCATACATTGAAAGAATTTGTTTTAAATTACCAGTAACCATCCACCCATCTCCATGTGCATGTCAGTGCCACACACGATAGCCAGCCTAAATAATGCAACCACAAAACGTCGCGTCAGCTTTAGTGCACGAGGTGCGGGCCCTCCGATTGGTCGGCCGATGACGCGTCACACCCTCTAACCTAACGGTAATAAGGGTAATGAACCGGTAGTGATTTAATAGTGGGCACGTGTCATATATGTATATAGCATAGCATACAACTAACTATTAAACTATATGTAAAGTGCCTATAATTATATATGTGTGTGTGCGTGCGTGCGTACGTACGTACGTGCGTGTGTGTGCGTGCGTGCGTGCGTGCGTGCGTGCGTGCGTGTGTGCGTGTGTGCGTGCGTGTGCGTGTGCGCTTTGATAGCTCGTATATCTTTGCTCGCTCTACTCGACTATAGGTGCGTGTTGACCCACGTACAGCTTAGGTCTGCCCGAATACGTGTCTACCTTGACCTATATATTTCACCAGGGGTAGCATGCCAAAAATAGAAGCATATAAAATACGGTTTATTAAAGGCTCACAATGCGCATCCAAACGCTAATTTCTCCAGTACTCTTATTGCTCATGAAATTCGAAATACGGCAATTCTGTCATGAAGGGATCTTAATTATGAAGAGCCTTGGATAATGATAATAAACATTGTATACATAACTAGTTATAAACCGGTTGCACCTCTAAGGAACTACCATAAATGAATTGTAAAATTTAAGTCATATTAAAAGGTAACCTGTGCCTATTTTCCTGATTACTATAAAATACCTGTTGCACACGCACAATACAGCACGGCATCGGTGTCCACATTGCACATCTGGGAAGGGAGCAAACTGCTGCCACTTATATTCTTACAAAATTGTGGCATTTTCGTGTGTGTCGCCGGCTATACGTTTCCTCGCCATCCGCCCCTCAACGATCTCTCCAAACATGTCAAAACATTCTACCCGATCATGACACTTGCCATGGCCATTTTTTCAGTATATTTTCTCACCCATTCTAGCGTTCAAAACACTATTAAAAAAGTGGAAAATTTTTGCACGACGGCGGCAATCGTCACAACACGAAAACACAATGCATATCAAATAAAAATAACAATGTATAAACCTAAATGATCGCTCCATCTAAATCTAACCATGAGAAATGTTATACATTGTTGTACATTGTTATCTAAATGAGCGCATTTCGGATAACACAAGTCCAAAAGTTCCAGAACGGCCCAAAAAAACATTGTTATAACAAGGCCCCAGCTAACTTCCCACCAAAAAAGAAAAGCCATGTAATGACTCACTACGTCAAAGCATATTAAGCATCGAACAAATTACCGCCGCGCCAAAAAATCGCCGCCGGCTCAAGAAACTTCCTGATGTCTCTTTGCGAGGACATCATAACGATGCTTACCTAAGGATTAGTTCCCCATTCACACGTGTCGCGTCCGACACGCGCAAAAAAGAAGACTTCTCAGGTCTACGACTTACCATCCGCTGGGAAGCTGCCCTGCAGCTACAAGATTTCTTACGTAGAAAGCCAAGGCACACAACTCAAACGTTTCATCATGCAACAATGTGGTCCTACACAGAAGTTCTGACTACCTAATACTGGACATTAATACTAAAACTCATTCATTGCACGAACACGGCACCAACAATGCCATTGAACATCAATCGACTACAACCATCAACGTTACTAGCATACCATGCAACTAGACACTCAGAGAGGCCCCGCAAGCCTCCGCCAACGGCAGCTTGACATTCTCCTCACTGCTAAAAAATTGTATTAATAATTAAATTAATCTCAATATAATTAATTGAAATCGCGATCACACCAAAAATGTAAATCAATTATACTTCACCCCATTTCCGACCTATCCGGAAAAAATTTAATGAATTAATTGATATCCGGGATCACCACCAATAAATCTTCATCAATTCTAAGTCAGCCAATTTATGAACTATTCCTAAAATTTTATACTGCATATCCAGTCCATAAACTTTTCAGCTTAGGCTGTACACAAAATCAACAACCCCCACAAACCAACAAACACACGCAGAAACAAACGACACCGCCGGTGAAAGCATTAAACCTCCTGCCAACCCCTTGCGATAACAATCAACCACCTGCCAGGACATCCTCCCAACACGCGTGGTCATGACGCCTCCCCTAGCGATGTAAACTGCGATCCACCAGGCATCATCCTATTTCAGAACATTGGGAACGTACCTCAACACGACGTCACCTTTCCTGAGGCCGCCGCCGGGCCAGACCTACTACTCTCCCTTACGACTCCCGCCAGCTCTACCGGTACGACAACCTCCACTCCCTTCGCTAGCGCATCAAGTCCAACATCTGCGCCCCTCATCTGAAAATATTGGCGGGCCACCACACCGCTAGAATCCAATAATCAGTGGCTATGCACGCAGCGAACGTTGTCATTAACGAGGGAATAAACCAGTAATTCTGCAAAATTAGAGAACAAATAAGTGACGAATAAGTATAGAAGTGAGCAGCCGATTAATGACCCGAAACATTAAACTGGCCGTGAGGGGTGCCAATAAGAACGCACGTCGAGCCAGCCGTCGTGAGCTGAGGATAATATATTATCGAGGTGATCGTACAGCCATCTTAACAATTAAACCCAGAAAACGCCGATGGCTTGCTTTAATTGATCTATAATAGAGAATCATATTTAATTCTAAAAACCTCCAATAATTTGACCGGTGGAAAACCAATTCGCAATGATAGTTCATCCGATCGCTCTACTCTCAATTTTTTGTGCCGCCAAACACGGGCCGTATAAAGATCCTTTTTATACAAACACCAAACATCCCGCGTATAATATAAATATTAAACTGCTGATAAAAATCGCCGTTTTCAGAAAAATTCGTACATGCGTGAACCATTTAAGCGAAACTCAACTTATGTGCCGATGTAGACAT